AGAGGAACAGAGGATATTAGTAAAGAGGCTCTCACAAGGCTGAAAAGCCGCGTTGTTCTGGGGAGGATTAGAAAGATTACACAGATGGTGACAGAGCACAACAGGGTTTCTAGGGGAATGTGAGGTGCCGGTAATCAGAAGACTCCTAACAGGAACCTCAAGGTGAGATGATGAGGAGAGTTGAAGTAAGTGCCAAAATATCTGTTGGGATCTTCAAGGTTATTTCCCTGGGAGGGTGACTTGAGAACAAACCCAGCATGGGGTGAGCAAGGGCAATGGGGTTGGGGACTTAGTGGGTCAAAGGGGTTTAACATTGAGAAAAGAAGGTGAAATGGGAGGGGAGGAACTGGGAAGAATTTTGTATGTAGGGGATGAGAAAAAGGAAAATGTGGGTGAGGGCAAATAGAAGATGTGATAAAGAGAGACCATGGAGTTACAGGGATGGAATTGGGGAAGGGAGAAGACTAGGAGACAGGAAATTAGAATTGAGGGTGAGTTTGGGGGGAAGACTAAGACTGAGGAAACAAAACAATGTGGAAGGTTAAAGAGGATGGTCAGAACAGACTAGCGGAGAGGGGTTGTAGAGGGCAATGGTTTGGGGACACAAAAGTGTTAAGGGAGAACTTTGATACCACCATCTTCATGTGTAACGCTGAGGAAATGAAACTTGCTGATGTACCTTTGAGGTTCTGGGCTTTGAACTCAAGACGAGTTGGATGTGTAAGTGCCTTAATCATATCCTACTGCTTCAGTTCCTTAACGGAGGTGATAGCACTGGAGATAGCACTGCCTTTCCTCCCTCCCTGATTTTTTATAAGCATGAGCTTCCCACAGGCTCTGAAGTCAAGTGCAATAATGACCTGAAATGGTCCTTCCTATGCTAGTCTTGGCATCAAACTAACTAGAGCTGCGGTGAGGAGCCTGGCCTCAACATAAATGGAGCCACCACAGCTGCACACTGTTGGTTGGAGCACACTGCAGGGTGCCACCGACGTCCTCATAGCTGTAGGAGAAGGGATGCTGTAAGCTAAGGCAGTGGTTCTGAGTGAAGCTGAAAAAGCTGCCAATCCTGACACGTTCCTCATGAAGCATAATGCAGGTGGAAGCTTCATGGCTTGGTGTAATTGTAGATGCTCAGTGTTGGCACCAAACTGCTCTAATAACAGCAGTATATAAGGAAAGAGTGGGATACTTTCCATGTTTTGTGACTCCCTAGAGTACAAATAGACTGTGTGTGTAAAAGTTAAATGAATAACCCTGAAAGTCAAGGGGCCAAGAAATGCCCCTTCAAAGGAGAGCGCTCCAGCCAGGATAGTCTCATGCCCCAGCACAGGGAAACGGTACGCTGTGAGCTCCAGAAAGATGATAGGGTATCCCTTCATTATTAATGGGCAAAGAGGCTTCTCAGCCATTGCCATGCTTGTTCTGATCATGTCACACCATCGAGTTTATTCTTAGTCTTAGCCACAGCCTTATAAATAATAAAATGGGTCATGTTTTATCTTACCCCAGTGATCATTGTAATGCGGCTTTTCTTTGAGACTCTGCCAAGCTCTTGACAAAGGCAACATTTAGAAGCAGATAATATGATTGAAGAGCACGATACAAAAATAGGCTCCGCTCTGCCCCAAAAGACATACACAAACATGGTGGCATTGCAGTGAACTGCCTCGGCGTACACACCGCTGTGGGAGGGCAGAAATGAGAGAAGGTTGGAAAGCTGAGGGTGCAGCGTGCCTACCCAGTTAGGACCAGCTGGGATGGCACAGCTGACGTGTATTAATTCTGGAAGTCCTTTGCTCAAAGCTGGCCCTGGAAAAGAGTGGCCTTTGTGGAAATGATATTGTCTAGCCTGTAATTTCTGCGAGGGGGAGGTATCTCTGTGGATGCCAGTTAGGCCTGTGTGCAGGCATTGTGGCTACAGCCTGAGAAGCTGAGGTGGACAAGTGGAATAGATGAGTGACACATCTCAGTTGAGGATGTAGTCTAATTGCCGTAGTAATGCCCTTAGAGTCATTCTGTGTGCTCCTCAGCAGCAGGAGAGCCAAGACACAGCAAGTAATGACTTACCCCAAACTATGGAGGAACCTGTAGCAAAACTGGAAATAGCATCCAGGACTCCAAGAACCCACCCACGGCGTCTAACCACGCTTCCTTCCTCCCACTGTGCTTCCTGGGAAAAGAGCATTTCTGTCCTGGAAACTTCTATATTGAGAAAGTCTGTGAGAATTAGAAGAAAAAACTCAGAACACATCACAAACCACGCATCTGTTTAGGACCTTTCCAAAATAGTCTCCTCCTAAGGAGCTGAGTACAATTAATAGCAGAGTCCTTTTTAGAGAAGACTGAAATAGGCAGGTCTGTACATGCACCGGCAAGAGGGCTGTTGTGGGGCTGCTGTAAGTAAGTTTTCCTTAAGACCTTTGTATTATGTAAAGGATTCACATTTTTAAGTCTTTGTTAATGCACAAATTGAGTATGGCTCTGGTGGTAAGAAGTGTGACCAGCAGTAAAAGGGCGAAATGCAATGTGCCAGTGTAGCATTCAGCTCAAAGGAGGAATTATAAATAATCTCTTTATCCTTCGTTCTAAATGTTTTCCTTCAAGTCTAATGGTTCAGTTCCTTCCTTTTTTTTTTTTTTTTTTCCCCCCACTAGATCTCTTTCTTCAGTGTCTTCAACGCTAATGGTTTATTTCTTTCCTTTTTTTTTTTTTTTTTTCCCCCCACTAGATCTCTTTCTTCAGTGTCTGTGTGGGCTGCGTGTTTGCAAACCTTCCTTCAATGGGCTTTTGTTTCTCGTTGCAGAAATTTCCTGAGCTGAAGTTCAAGTACGTGGAGGAGGAGCAGCCGGAGGAGTTCTTCATCCCGTACGTTTGGTCCTTGGTTTACAATTCGGCGGTGGCCCTGTACTGGAACCCACGCGACATCCAGTCTCTTTCTTCAGTGTCTGTGTGGGCTGCGTGTTTGCAAACCTTCCTTCAATGGGCTTTTGTTTCTCGTTGCAGAAATTTCCTGAGCTGAAGTTCAAGTACGTGGAGGAGGAGCAGCCGGAGGAGTTCTTCATCCCGTACGTTTGGTCCTTGGTTTACAATTCGGCGGTGGCCCTGTACTGGAACCCACGCGACATCCAGCTCTTCACCATGGACTCGGGCTGAAGGAGCAGGTGCCACCGCCACACCAGCTCGACTCTGTCTTGCTACGGAAAATCCAACTCGGCACTGCGTGTTAATACATGGCCCCTTCCAGTGTGCCCCCTCCGACCCCAAAGCTTACAGAGAGCCAAGCTCGCTGCTCGTGTACGGTCCAACTTTGACATCTCGAAGCAGATTGCCACAGACCTGCTGGCAACAGACTGCGGTGCGAGGAACTGGCGGCTTGTAGGCAACCTTATATTTATAGTCCTATAACGTAGAGCTTGTTTGATGAAAATGAGGCCTTACACATGGGGTGTGATGTTACTACCGACCACAAAACTGATTGCTCTTTTAACTTCACTGGGGTAATGAGGAAGGAGATGATGGGCTGTGATTTGGAAGTAGCATTTGTATTTTCCTTTGATTAAAGCAAGGCAGCTTCTTTGGGTCAAGCTTTTTGTGGTCTGCTGGATTCTGCGGTGGGTTGCTCATGCCCCTCTACCATGCTTTCACTCACAGCCCTTTATTTTGATGGCCCTGTCCTGGCTGCGGTTTCTGAATTGGTGTCTCCCTTGTCATCCAAGTGAGCTAGCAAGCAGCGTAGTAATAAAATTAGCTCTGCAGGCACATTCAAAACACCCGATTTTGATGGCACAATGTTGGTGGGAGGATTTTCAGTAGCAAGTCTCTTTTTGGTTTGGCAAATATTCTTTTGAGAGCTGGAAACAGCAACCTTCGGAGTGAGGTCCCTTACAGACTTGCTTTGCTGTACTTCTGGAAATTGAACACGTGAACAAATGTCCAAAGAAAATAGTTAAAAGATTGTAAAATAGACCAATGTCCCGTAAAAATTTGTGTAGTGGTGACAGTGTGTAGTGGGGATCCCTGGCAAAATGTGTTGAAAATTGCCTGTTTGCTATTTGCGAGGTTTATGACAGAAGTATAAATTTATCTGAATGTAGAAAACTTGTTTTGTTTTTGAAAGTGTCCTTTCCGGATATACCCAGCTTAATGCAAGTAATCCAAAAAGTGTCTCTGCAGTTGGAAGAACAAAAGAAATTGACTGACCTGGTTTTGTAAGAACATCCCATTTTTCAAAATGTCGATTTTTTTTTTTTTTTGGTCTCTGGGGAGGCTCCTGGCGGTGTCCACTCGCACGTGGATGCAGACGCCGTTGTAATCCCAGTGCTGCTGCGTGGAGGACTGTCACCAGCGCATTGCATGCCAAATCATAAAGATCAGGGAGTCAGGTCCTAAACATATATGGCGAACCCCTCTATTCACTGCCTACCCCAGCGTGTCCAGCTTACTGAACTGGAGAATAGGGTGCATTTACTTTCAGACCGTCCTCTGAGTGGCTTTAAATAGAATTATTTGCACTCTTTTTCCCTGAAGGATATGCTAGATTTGTACTTTTATTTCCTTATTTAGAGGTGGAAGTCCATGGAAATACTAGCTTAAAAAAAAAAAACCAAAATATTTATTTCAATATAGCTGCAAAGAGACATGCACAGCACAGGAGCATTTAGGACTTTAAAATGGCACAAGCTTTTGAGAAGAGGCAATAGTAAGACTGAAGCTGCAGTTTTTTCTTAGTAAAACATGAGAGATGATTGAACCATGCCCGAGCTGCACATATGTTTGTGCTATGTTTAGGATTTTTTTTTTTTTTGGCTCCGCGTGAACGTCAAAAGGGAATGACTCTTCTTGGTTATTGTAGTGATTTGTAATTTTCTCTTTTAGTAAAAGGCTAAGAGCGTTTGTGAGTCAGCAGAGCTGCGCAGCCTTTGGAAAGGTCAGTCTAAAGATGCACTTTTGTACTGCGGAGTCTGAGGCTCCTGGGACAGCTCAGTTTTCATTGAACTTGCGCACCCATGGGTGCAGGAGCCTGCCCCGTAATGACCACCCTCCACCCCGCAGGCTTCAGGAGAAGTGGAGCGCTTCGTAAAAGAGGGCTCAGACGGAGCAGATGCTTAGCATCAGGGTGCCAAACTGGAGAGAACCCAACTTTCTTCGAAAGGGCTTTTTCTAAAGAAAAGGGTACGTGAAGCAGCAATCTGATAGGATAGGTCAAACCAGCTGCTGGATCAGTCACACAGTGAATCATTTCTGGCTGTCCTCGTGTTCCGATGACATTGAAGCGCAGAAGGAACAGGTTTGTTGCAATCGCATAATTTCCTCGTGCATTTAATTAATATGCAATGCTTACAGAGCCCGGCTGGTTGGTAACAGCTGGAGTTGCAATCCCAAGTTGCAGCGGCAGAGCCAGACCAGGATTTATGCAGAAAGCCATGCTAGCCTGACTGACTCTTTGAGGAGTTTGAGTATTATATAGGTCTGGCAGTGTCCTGAAGTCTGCAGTCTGGCATGTTCACAAATACTCTGTTTTCCTTCAGATCTGTAAAGTATCACCTTAGGGGTCCTTTTCATTACTTTGTGTGAAAGATTTATTATGCGTAATAAAAAAAAAAATTTTAAACCAGTAAATACCGTCTTTAGTGCTATTTGTTTTACATAATAGCTGCTGCGTGGTAACGTTTGGCCAGGCGGTCTCGGCGCTCTCGTCAGACCTAACGTGCAGGAGGCTTTATACCTTCGCAGCGATTTGCAGTAAAGAGAACTCGCATTTGTTTTATTAAGGAGAGGCAATTGTTTAAATGCGTGCTTGGTGAAAGAAGGGATGTGGCATGCTGCAATAGCATGCTAAACCCCATCTGGAGGGCTCTTGCCAACTCGCTCCGCAGCTGATACAGTCGCAATAGGTTAAAGCCCCCCTATTCTTGCTTCTAGAGCTACAATACCATCTGAGCAGGGAGGAATAGGCAGATCTACTTGGTTGTAGTTCAAAGCACCGTCGCTTCTGCGACTCTCCTTTTCCAGGCGGAGAACAGGCAGGAAACCAAGTTACCATGTAAGTTGTTGCTAAAGTGGAGTCCAACTTTTGCTTCCTGAGGAGGAAGAAGTTATCCTTGTTCTGTGAACTGAGGGAAACTCCCATCTTCGCTTTAAAATGAGGTGACTGGTTGCAGGCTAGAATTTTTTTTTTTTCCCCTACTTTCTTACAGATGAGTCAGGTTTCCTCAACTTGGGTACAAGCAGTCCAAAAATCTTCCAGATTTGAGGACATGAAAAAAAAAATACCCTACCAGCTTAAAACAGAAGAGCATGTTAGACAAGCTACAGGAACGAAACGAACTTGCCAACGTGCCTGCTAGTTTGTTGATCTGCAAGTTAAACAGGAAAGGAAGAAGCAAACATCCCCCAGCCTCGCCTTTCTGGAAACTCTGAAGTTTTGGGTACAAGCTCTTCTGCTGAGAAGCTGGGTTTTATTCTTGCCTGTGTTGTGTGATTCAGCCGTGTAAGGGATTAGGGTTGGCTGTGCCTACCTAATCACACTGTCTCCTGATCAGCTGGTCTCCGTGGGCAAAAACCCTGCCTATATGCTTGAAGACCAGGAGTTTTCCGTTTGATTTCACTTCTGTAGTTGCCTGACCACTGTAAGTCCTTTCCAGTTTTCACCCGTTAGCAGGTCCTCAGCTGCCTTTAGTTAGTTAGCTTTAAAAATTTGTGCCCCTGATACCCGAGTATCTCAAATGATCTTGCATAAATGCATAATACTATAAATATCAGGGTCCTAGCCCCATGATGCTTTTGTGTGTTTGATTTGTTGTTGTTTTGCTGGACGGGGGGTTGATTTTTCAATAGACTCTACTAACATTTCCATCCCGATCTGTGAGATAACAGCTGTGCAACTGATAGCTACCTGCAACTGCCTCGGTTGGATTATCAGATTCAGCGAACGGAAACGTTGACTCGGTACGTTCCTCTTTACAGTTGTGGTCTCTCCTCCTCCTCCCTGCATTCACATCAGGGTCCTAATGTCTAGATCGGGGTGTTAATCTTCCTAGAACTGTTCAGTTTGGGGAGCTTTCACCAGTACTGAGGGTTTCGTCAAGGTTTTTATCTTGGAGGCTTCTCAGGCTAACGTTGCAGTAAAATCTGTATCAAATATACCCACATCCTCAGACTGCAAGAGTGCTCTTTTCTCTTTAACCTCAAGACAGATAATCCATAAAATTTTCTTCAGCAGCATGATACGGAACCAATCCATTTTTAACATTTCTGGCAGTAAAATGTCATTTGTCATTTAAAGGGGAGGAATATGTTTATCTACTCCTTTTGCAAGTTGCAGTCAACTGGTTAGACAGGAGTGTATGTTCTCCTCAGCTCTGCCAGAGATTCCTCTAGACACGAGGAGTTTGTGCTAATTCTAGTTACGCTTCATGTGAGCTGGGAAGGAGGTAAGTTGAGGGAGAGTCTCTATGCAGACTGTTCAGTTTTGATCATGAAGCGTTGACTGAAGGGCAGCCAGTTGGGCTTGTTGTCAAAGAGCTCTCTTAACAGTTTGCTCAGGCTGTGGCTCCTACCAGGCGTCCTGAACATCTTCTAGCAGCACCTGTGGGGGCTGCGGGCTCTCAGCACATTGCAGATATCCCATGAGACTAAATTCTGTAGGGAAGAGCATCCCAGATTTCACAAGGTTGGTTGACTAGACTGTTCCAGATGAGGCTGGCAGTTAACTTGGGTTTAGCTGTAAGGTCGACTTCACCGAGAAGTCTTCTTCTCCGAGAAGCTTTGCAATCTCACTTTGACTGTGGGCATGTACCTGCAGAGCTGCACTTTGCCGTCAGGTGCAGTGGTCCTCCAGGAGCATGCAACAGCAGACCAGCGTGGTGCTACAGGATGCCAAGGCAGTGCTGAAATAACCCTCTGCTAACCCACTCCTAAATGGTGATAACATGAACTAGGTCATCAAAAGCAGCTGCATCCCTCGTTTGTGTGTCGCTGTCTACAGAACTAGGCATCCCTTTGCTGTGCTCCCTTGGTGAGTTCCTATGGCTGGAAAGACTTGCGACCGCTCTGGAGTGTCGCTGTTATAAATACTTTGTTCTTTGAGAGTAGTTACCCTGAATTGCAAGGCTCCAGCTGAGATTACAGCATGAAAAGCCTGTAAAGCATTTAATCATAGATGCTATGTTTTTGCTGGATGGATGCTTTTCATATGTTAGGTCTATATAGCCTTGCTGCAAATGAATTATTTCGAGTAGCTGTGTTTTAATATTGAAGGCTTTGCTACCACCCACGGATTGTGCCAGCACTTCCATGTACTTAGATAAATGAAAATGTCACTATCAGTGAATCCCTCCAAATCTCAAATCAACTACACCGCTGAGCTGCCAAACTGGGACAATCTGAATGAGAGATTTAAAAAACAGAGATTTTTTAATGCTGCTGAAGCACACTGCATAATCCTTCATCATCGCTTTAAAAACTGTCTTAAAATTAATCCAAAATGAATATGTCTTGGCAGACGTGATGAAACGTTCAGCTGTACATAGTTTTTGCCAGCTGTCTTGGCAAACTAAATGGCAGACTTCAGTCTTTCTTGTATTCATTTTGTGCTGCTAAATATGCTAAATCTGACAGCGCTGGAGGAAAACTGGAGCTCCTCAAGTATCCGGAGAGCAGCTAGGATTGGAAGCGAGATTCCCCAAGTCTGGTTAGCAACTTGGGGTGTCCCAGTGCGATCAGTACTTCCCGTGGCATCCATCTTTCTGGGCTATGAAGCTCCCAACCGGCCCTGGAAAAATCACTGCTAGCTGCAAGTGGTGACGCCATGTCTAGCCCTGGCCCAGAAACTTCTCACCTTCTGTAATGCTGCTGCAACGATGACTACAGAGCAGGCTGATTTGGGCGAGGCTCTGGTCATTTATGTAACGCTGGCCACCAAAGAGTAGTAAAAGGGTAAGAAGGACATGGAGCAATCATGTGTTTCTTGCTTTCAACCACAGGTTTTTCCCAAGGGACGAGCACGCTGCCCCATTGTGGCACGGCTGGATCTGGGGCACAAGGTCACGGCTGATCCCTGCCTCAGCTTAGCACCTCGTGTCTTGTGTGCGTCTCCAGCGGTGGAGCAGAGCAGAGGGAGAGGTGTAGCAGGACCCTTTCCTCCCTGAAACAGAGCTCTTTGCGGAGACTCTAAAAAAACTCCAGTTCCCACCCTCAACAAAAAAAAATACATCTTTGGCACCTGCAATCCTGCAAGTTTCTCCCAACCGAAATAGGAAGTGAAAATTAAATTGAAATTCTTTCCTTTCTCCTAAATCAAATCTCGCAGGCGGCAATTGCCCTTTAAAAGGTCAACCTTTTAGCCCACAAAATATGGAATCAATATGTTATTGACCTAAACAACAGCCATTAACTTTGCTCTGCCTTTAGCTCCTGCCTTTGCTTCCTCTCCTGACGGCGTCCGAGGGGGCGTGCGAAAGCCTCCCGGCATTCCCGCTGGTGCGCACCAGCAAAGGGAAACCTCCCACCGAAAAATCCCAGGCGTGATTTTTCCTCTCTGGAGATCCATCTTTGCTCTCGGCCTCCTGGTGTGTTGCTGTTTGCCTGCAGGAGCAGGTGCTGAGACTCTCCCAGCGGACAGAGAGGGGAGAGCCATGGCCGGCCATCCCTGGGCCAGCGTCCACCCACCTCGGGGCAAGCAGAGACCGCAGATGCTTTCCTGTGGGCGCTGTCGGCGATTCCCACCATCCGACTCATCCTGGCTGGTTGAAGCATCGATGCAGGTCGGCTTGGCCCGCACTGCCACGATCACCCCAGTCCCCCGTGTGCCTTGCCAAGCAGAAAGTGTGGGTCCAAAATAACTTCTGTGTTTCATTAGTAAGGAAAAGAGCATTTTACAGCAACAAAAAAGGATGGCACTGCTTTCTCCCAGGAGAGGGTGTCCTGGCTCGACAGTGCCGAGAGACACCGCTGAGCCCTGCAGGATGCCAAAACACACCAGGGCACAGGAGGCAGTTTCCCAGGGCCGGCTGCCGATCTGCTGTCCAGGGCACCCGGACCGGCCAGGGTTTATAACCGCGCTGTCACGGCCACGGCAGCAGACTGCACAGGCTGCAGGAGGGCAGCAAAACCCCAGGCTGCTGCAGCCACGAGAGAGCTAGAGCCACCTGGACGGGGCCAAGGTGGCAGCAGGACGTTAACGCCGTATCCACGGGATTAACCGTGTTTCCTTCGCCAGGCTTCCCACGCATTGACGTTCCTCAACCAGCTCTGAAGCCTTTCAGGAAAAAGCATGAAGATGATGGCAACAGGAAATACAGCTCGGAACTCTGATTTTTGGAAAAGAACAACTTGCAGGGCCACGTCGAGTCCCGTTAAAACACAAATACCCAAGGCCAATGGCCACGGGTTCCTGATTTTTCTCTTGCTGCCTACACACGCACTGGGCACGCACGGCTTCCCAGGCACCGTGGCTGACCCCATCTCAGCACCTCCCAGACTGCATCAAGCCTCGACCAGCCCCCAGGGCTGGTTCCACCTCAAATGAAGGAAATGCAATCAAACCTGTTGATATTGGCCTCATCCCCTGGATAAGGCAGGAGCTGGTGACTTGGGCGGACCCGAGATG